AACTACTCAAAATTTCCGCTACCGGTTCTCCAGAACCTGCTGAATACCAGCTCTGGTGTTCGCTATCATATACAATATTCAAGGTATGGTCCCTTCCAGGCAAGACAGAGGAGAGAGGAATACGAGTGTACTTTCAATTCTTAGTGAGATCAACTTACTTTTCCTTTTCCTAAAGTTGCATCTTGGGCTTAACCCAATCCTCTGTATCTTGCAACAACATTGCAATCAAAAGTTTATTTGAAAGTTTTTCTCTTTCCCCTCACTGGACTTTTCTGGTCTTCCACAAAAATTAAGTTGTGCAATGATTTAAGAGAACATTATTACCTGAACCCAACATCCTTCACTTTCCTTCCCATAGTCAGGAAGATGCTCTTCATTCGGTGGAGGTCATATCTTGTCTTATTATTTATGCCCAAACACAGAGGCTGTTTTTAATACTTAGAAGAAGCACCAGCCCTGTAACCATAACTGGATATTCCCATTGCACTACATGTTTACATCAGAATAAATATGTATAAGATTGTAGGCATTAATTTGAATCCAATTCTCTTAAAATACAGGAACCCCCCCCCCTCCTTCACACACACACACACACACACACACACACACACACACACACACTTGCAATGACAAAAGTAATCATATTCTCTCTTGTTGGAAACACATTGCGATTTCTACCTTTCAGGTTTCATTTACAAATAAAATTAAACCCTAGAGATTGAATGTGAGTTTTGTCCCACTGAAGAAAATGTAATTAAAACAGCTTATCAACTCTAATTTGCTTGGGAATGAAGCTATTCAGAAGGTCAAAGTTGATATTTAAACTTCGTACCGCTTTCCAGTGTTTGTTTATTTATTTATTTAATCGTTCTTTCACTCTGTTTCTTCCTGCCATGATTAAAATTAAACTCCTGGCAGGTTACATTCTCCTCAAATGATGCTAACCTGTCTATGGTGCAAATCAAAATAAGAAATAATAATACTATTTCTTAAAAGATGTTAAATGCTCATATAACACAATGGCTAGCAATTTGCCAAAAAAAAATATATCCCTCAAATTCTCAGCCTGTTTATAAATTTATTAGAGACTGCACAATGCTTTTGATTTGAGGTCAACGAAGAGCAGAGATTGGTTCCATCTTTTATTCTCATCCCAGTCTCCAACTCTTGTTATTTTGAATTGAGTCAAAGCCTATGCTTATTTTACTTGTAAGGAAAATTGTTGCTTCCATTTCGCTATGAAGAACCCCATATTTGATTCACCAATTATATTTATTCTTTAAAAAAATGTTTAGTTGGGAGTTGTCCAGAGTTGGTTGTTAGTTGGGCAGCCATATAAATGTTTTAAATAAATAAGCTTTGTTTCCCTGCAATGAACACAGCAATCATGTCTAAAAATAAAGTCGCTTTCTCTTCAACATCTGTGCCCTGGTACCTATAACAAGGGCTTCTAAGTGAATGAACACAGGTGTTTAAGCGGCCTTGAGATGGAGATGCTTTCTTGGAAAAAACAGATGTGCCTTGCCTCCCTGTCTACGGATGGGTGGGTGCTATCACTGCCTCGGGCGGCCTCTCCCGGTGGCCCCTTCGGGTTCAGGCTGGAGGGACTTGGGAAGGAAGCCAAGCTCGGGTCGGCCCGGCTCTTTCGCTTGGCAGGCGGGCGTGCACCCGCGGCTCGCTTTCTCAGCTCTGCCCAGCCTGCATGGCTGTGGCGTGGCCCTGGTGGGATGAGCAGAGGGCCTGGTGGGGAGGCACTCGCTGCCTTGGCAAGAGCTCCACTGCTGGGCAGGAGGGCCCACCTGTCAGCTGCGCTGGGCACCCCAGGTGAAGCTCTTCGCGCTCTGCCCGGTGCCAGGCAGGGATGGTGGCTGGGCGTTTCTCTCAGGGTGGTCCAATCCTGCATTGCGGCCCCGGGAGATTCGCCTCCCCATGTGGGGTTGGGCTGCCCTCTCGGGCAGGGGAGGCTTTGTTGTACCAGTAGTAGGGCGTCATTTTTAAAAGAATTGGCTTTGCCTTCTAAGGCAAAGGGAAGGCGGCCACAGGAGGTCCTGAAGCCGAGTGTCTCTGCCAGGTTCTGGTTGGCCGTGTGTGGCTGTGCCAAATGCCACAGCATTGCTCTAAATGCCACGGAAGCATGGAGAGAAGGGAAAGCAATGGTGGCGAAAGGTCTCCTGATACGAAGTGCCCCACCAACGCCAAAGTCAATGCAGGCAGCACCATATCCAGGTATGCAACAAAAGTACTTCCTAACGGCAACCCCCCCCCCGCCATTCCCCCCATTTTGCATGTTTAATATAGGCCTTAATTTGGGGGGAGGGGCTTAATTTGATTTTATGCCGATAAAACATGCTGGGACTTCCTATTGGGGGAGGCCGTATTGTTGGAGAAACACGGTATCTATCTATCTATCTCTATCCATCCATCCATCCATCCATCTATCATGATCACTGGCATGCCATTGTTGGAGGGGGAGATTGAGGAGCTGACAGGAAGTAGGAGTGTGGATGCAGTGGCTGTGGAAAAATCGGGGGAAGGGCACAGTCCGGCTGGGCCTTCAGAGGAAGACCCAGGGCCACCCCTCTTCATCCTAGGGCACACAGGGAGGAACGAAGAAGGGAGAAACATGGCTTATGGGAGAGAAAAAGGCCCTGATCCCTTTCATTAGTTGCAGCTGGGAGAACAAGATATAAGAAGGGCGTTTGCACACAGCACCTTGCTGGAAGCCAAGTGTGCATCATCTTTGTAGAGGCTTATCTGGGTTTTGGCATCCTCCCAACTATGTGTTCTTCATTATCTTTTGGAAATCTGCAATTTATTATCCTGGCCTGTCATGTTAATTACTTCAGCATGGTTTGTGTTGGTTTTTTTTATTTCTATTTTATCTGTACTTTGGGTTCAGACTGCATTTCTTCCCTTTGTAGACAGTTTTTGGAGCAGTTTGATCTCCAGCCGAGGATAACTGGACATTGGGGACCAAGTTGGAGGTAGAGACTTTTACCTATTTTTGTGACTTTGTTACTTTTGTGCAACACTCTGGGTCATCACAGTCACACAGAAGTGTCCACATCATTCAAATAAAAAATGAAGACATCCATCTGAGATAACAATTCATATCTGATACATAGATTTGAAGTGCGAAGGTTTGGTCAACACAGACATTGAACTGAGAATTCACCCAGCAGTTATGTTTCCTCAGTTAGTTCATGATACAATAAAAGGGCTGTTTCGAATGTATCAGTAGCATACTTAAAAACAACAGAATATTGTAGTTAGTCTATGAAGTGTGGATAAATATAA